CTCTACTTTAAAGAGTCCTCTCCTGCTGGTGTTCAGGTGTATATCAGTATGTAGTGACTCTACTTTAAAGAGTCCTCTGCTGCTGATGTTCAGGTGTATATCAGTATGTAGTGTCTCTACTTTAAAGAGTCCTCTCCTGCTGATGTTCAGGTGTACATCAGTATGTAGTGTCTCTACTTTAAAGAGTCCTCTCCTGCTGATGTTCAGGTGTACATTCAGTATGTAGTGTCTCTACTTTAAAGAGTCCTCTCCTGCTGATGTTCAGGTGTATATCAGTATGTAGTGTCTCTACTTTAAAGAGTCCTCTCCTGCTGATGTTCAGGTGTACATCAGTATGTAGTGTCTCTACTTTAAAGAGTCCTCTCCTGCTGATGTTCAGGTGTATATCAGTATGTAGTGTCTCTACTTTAAAGAGTCCTCTCCTGCTGATGTTCAGGTGTATATCAGTATGTAGTGTCTCTACTTTAAAGAGTCCTCTCCTGCTGATGTTCAGGTGTATATCAGTATGTAGTGTCTCTACTTTAAAGAGTCCTCTCCTGCTGATGTTCAGGTGTATATCAGTATGTAGTGTCTCTACTTTAAAGAGTCCTCTCCTGCTGATGTTCAGGTGTATATTAGTATGTAGTGTCTCTACTTTAAAGAGTCCTCTCCTGCTGATGTTCAGGTGTATATTAGTATGTAGTGTCTCTACTTTAAAGAGTCCTCTCCTGCTGATGTTCAGGTGTATATCAGTATGTAGTGTCTCTACTTTAAAGAGTCCTCTCCTGCTGATGTTCAGGTGTATATCAGTATGTAGTGTCTCTACTTTAAAGAGTCCTCTCCTCTGATGTTCAGGTGTATATCAGTATGTAGTGTCTCTACTTTAAAGAGTCCTCTCCTGCTGATGTTCAGGTGTATATCAGTATGTAGTGTCTCTACTTTAAAGAGTCCTCTCCTGCTGATGTTCAGGTTGTATATCAGTATGTAGTGTCTCTACTTTAAAGAGTCCTCTCCTGCTGATGTTCAGGTGTATATCAGTATGTAGTGTCTCTACTTTAAAGAGTCCTCTCCTGCTGATGTTCAGGTGTATATCAGTATGCAGTGTCTCTACTTTAAAGAGTCCTCTCCTGCTGATGTTCAGGTGTATATCAGTATGTAGTGTCTCTACTTTAAAGAGTCCTCTCCTGCTGATGTTCAGGTGTATATCAGTATGTAGTGTCTCTACTTTAAAGAGTCCTCTCCTGCTGATGTTCAGGTGTATATCAGTATGTAGTGTCTCTACTTTAAAGAGTCCTCTCCTGCTGATGTTCAGGTGTATATCAGTATGTAGTGTCTCTACTTTAAAGAGTCCTCTCCTGCTGATGTTCAGGTGTATATCAGTATGCAGTGTCTCTACTTTAAAGAGTCCTCTCCTGCTGATGTTCAGGTGTATATCAGTATGCAGTGTCTCTACTTTAAAGAGTCCTCTCCTGCTGATGTTCAGGTGTATATCAGTATGTAGTGTCTCTACTTTAAAGAGTCCTCTCCTGCTGATGTCCAGGTGTATATCAGTATGTAGTGTCTCTACTTTAAAGAGTCCTCTCCTGCTGATGTTCAGGTGTATATCAGTATGTAGTGTCTCTACTTTAAAGAGTCCTCTCCTGCTGATGTTCAGGTGTATATCAGTATGTAGTGACTCTACTTTAAAGAGTCCTCTCCTGCTGATGTTCAGGTGTATATCAGTATGTAGTGTCTCTACTTTAAAGAGTCCTCTCCTGCTGATGTCCAGGTGTATATCAGTATGTAGTGTCTCTACTTTAAAGAGTCCTCTCCTGCTGATGTTCAGGTGTATATCAGTATGTAGTGTCTCTACTTTAAAGAGTCCTCTCCTGCTGATGTTCAGGTGTATATCAGTATGTAGTGTCTCTACTTTAAAGAGTCCTCTCCTGCTGATGTTCAGGTGTATATCAGTATGTAGTGACTCTACTTTAAAGAGTCCCTCTCCTGCTGATGTTCAGGTGTATATCAGTATGTAGTGTCTCTACTTTAAAGAGTCCTCTCCTGCTGATGTTCAGGTGTATAACAGTATGTAGTGTCTCTACTTTAAAGAGTCCTCTCCTGCTGATGTTCAGGTGTATAACAGTATGTAGTGTCTCTACTTTAAAGAGTCCTCTCCTGCTGATGTTCAGGTGTATATCAGTATGTAGTGTCTCTACTTTAAAGAGTCCTCTCCTGCTGATGTTCAGGTGTATAACAGTATGTAGTGTCTCTACTTTAAAGAGTCCTCTCCTGCTGATGTCCAGGTGTATATCAGTATGTAGTGTCTCTCCTTTAAAGAGTCCTCTCCTGCTGATGTTCAGGTATATATCAGTATGTAGTGTCTCTACATGTCTCCATGCTTTAATGTTAAAAAAGCTCTTTATTGTTCTCATACTGCCTGTGCTGCAGCACCTCTTTTCACCCTCTGTCTGAAACCAGAGCCCATTGTGCTCTGATTGGTTAGCTGGCCGGCTCTGTTGTGATTGGTCAACCGCTTAGAGATGTCCCGTCCCTTAGCCTATCACATACAATGTGTTGGAGCGCTAGATAAAAGAAGCACAAGTGTTACATAGTGATGTCACTTTGTTCTAGAAGTAAACAAAGGAGTCCAATGGGGGGATTTTAGCCATTGCAGACCATTTACATGCACAAAAACCTATACAAAAAAACACACTACGGGAAAGGAAAACCTAAGGACTCTTTAAATACCAAATATCTAGCTGTTGATAGATCTCAAGCTTTATCGTTGTGAATACAGGACATACAAATGCCTTTGAGTCAGTCAGGCTGCACTGAAAGCAGAGGCAATGCTGATTTTAGACCACGCAAGCATGACAAGTCTCACTGCACCTTGATAAATATCACACCCAGTCGTGTATATAATGCGATCGAGCCAAAGTCAGTGCACTGTCAGCCTGACAATGATGCCTTTAGGAAAGAGCCGAGCAAAGCATATGACATAAAATCGACATTGCCTAGGTTCCTACTCAGCACGACAGAAAAGGGACAACAACTGGGTGACTTATTGGGAATGATCGACGTTTCCCGTAGAGAATGCAATGAATAATTCTCTTTTACCAGGAGAAAAAAACTCCCCCGGGGTATTGAACCAAATGGTCTTTTCTCTCTTCATTAGGAAAAGTCTACAAAGTCTTATCAGCATTCTGCATTCTCTGCCATTGGAGCTCAGATAATTGATTATGTTTAGGACGTACACTATTGGATGTACTGCTCCTCAGTAGCGGAAAGAGATATAGCAGTAAATTAAGTTTACCTTCCCAGGGCACAGCCAGACAGACAAAGATTCATTGACCTCAAAGGACAGGGTGAAATTGAAATTACGTTATAGAAAAAGTTCCATTCAGAAGTATTATCCCAATTCGCTTCACTGCACACCCATATTTCCTCCTTTTAAAAGACAGAATCACGTTATCTAGGGATACAAGCTTATATTTTACCGGCTGATTCTGCTGGAGAGAAGCTATGTCCACATAAAAGCCTTGACACTTGCAGCCCCCGTATATTGTTTACCAATTCTACTCTGCAATTAAATGCTTCTATCCAATGCACATTTACAACAAGAGGCAATTAAACTGGTGAACCAGCAGAAGAGGCATTGCTCTCTGAGTCGCAGCCATGTCAGATTGTGAGACCATATGAATTAGCAGGTGGTTTTCATTTAGCTCCAACAGCTCTGCCAAATGTGGAGCTGAATTTATCTTCATTTCTTTGGACTGAACTGTTTGTCTATCCTTAGATTGTTTTCTCACCAATCCCGAGAACCAAGTGTTCCTGGTGCTTCTCAGGACGCTTTCCTGAGGTTAATGCTCACAAAATCATTCAAATTGACCTATTCTACAAATGTTCGGGTTCATATTTGTATTTGTGACTCTACTGTGACGTGTTTCCATGCTATAATGTTCAAAAAGGTCTTCAGGACTGTGGTATTGTAGCCTAAGCAGACATACAAGCACCAAAAAGTAAAAATCGAACACACTACTATTAGAAAAAGCATGATAGGGCCTTTTTAAACTTCACTTTTGACTCCTCATGCAAGTGTTGACAGAGAAATCCACCAATTTTGACTTGAGCATCACAAACAACACAACAATCCTAAGTGCTTCACTCCAGCTGGAAGGATGCAAGTGACCTTTTGGGCCAAAACCAAGATGCATCTGCTTAAGTAGCTAAAACAGTCTTAACCGTATTTACCAAACGTATTTCGGGGCTGCTGTGATTCTATGTCTTGTGAGTGATTTGGTTCCAAGGTATTGTGGCTCTAGAAGGGACTGTACCCTACTTTAAATAGAGGACAATGCAATCATTACCCTTCAGAGAATAAAACCCTGTATTTTAAAACTATGGTTAGCATTTTGTGAGCAATAAGATTTGTACATCCCTTTAGAGGCAGGGTCTATTATTACGATGCTAGATTCAAATTTCAATCACACACACATGGGATTCCTTGTAACTGATACATGCATGTCATTTTGTTTCAGCTTTAGTTCAATGTTCACTCGCTCACACAAGTATTAGAGCTCTTACAAGTTCATCCAGACGGCTGCAGCTTCGTAGTCAAGTCAAAGTCAACTTTATTGTCAATCTCAAAATATGTTTGTACACACAGAAAGATCGAAATACTGTTTCCCACAGTCCCGAGGTATAAATAAAACTCACATTAAAATGCAAGAACTCTCAATTATTCACAAAATACCCAGAATAACCGTTTACCTCAGTAAGCAGGATATATATTTAAAAAACAGATGGTGTACATAAGAGGTGCCCAGTACGTCGACCGCGGGCGACCGGTCGACCGCGGGGGCAATGCTGGTAGATCGCGAGTCATTCATAAAAAAAAAATCCTGTTCCGTTAAAATAGACAAAACAGGTTTTGATCCCTCCTCCCTTGGCCTCCCTGCCACTTAATTCAGGAGTTTACTTGATTGACAGAAAAAGCGACCTATCGCTTTCCAGTCTGTTAACCCAGAATGCAAACCCAGATAGCAAAAGATATTAATTCAACATTGGATTTTGGTTAGATTGGTTATTTTTGGTTGAGGTTGAAAAATCAATGTTGATTCGATGTGTTTTTACAAATACCATTTCAACGTTTGAAAAAATGTTGTTGAATCAATGTAATATAGATGCCGGTTTTTCAACGTTGAAATTCCCTACATTGAATTGACATTGTTTCAACGTGTGGCGCTATCCCCTCTCGGGCGAGATCCTGACCCAGCGTCGGAGGCGGGGTCTGGTTCTTTCCTATGAGAGCTGCTGTGCATGAAGACAAAATGGCCCAAGTTTTGAGAGAGCGAAACGTCACAGATTACCCGTCATGCCTGTTGCACATTGCACTTAATCTTGAAAGCACGTTGGTCACGTGAAAGAGCGTAAGAGGGTGTGGAGGAAGGCAGGCAGTTCAGTTGCCGCCAAGCCGCCTGAAGAGAAGAGACAGATATCACAAATCGGTAAGAAATGTAACGTGACCGTTGTGCATGCCTACTCTATATGTTCACCTCAGTTACACCCTGTTATGTTTTTTTAGGCTATTCAGAGCGCAAAAGTGGGAACTAATTACTTATAATAATATATATCATCAACGAATTTAACGTCGTTCATCCCATGACGCAGTTGATATTTTATTGCCCTGACTAGCACCTAGCTAACGCAGCGCTAGCTAACATAATCTGACATTAAACTCTACCATCCTACAGAAATTACATAAAGTGTCCACTGATGCAGTCAAGCTAAAGCATTATTTAGGATATTTGGGTGAAATTGTGCATATTTTTTGTTATAATATAGCCTATATCATAAATTAATTAAACAGTTCATCGCATGACGCAGTTGATATTTTCTTGCCCTGGCTAGCACCTAGCTAACGCAGCAGATACACTAGCTAACACAATCTGACATTAAACTACCATCCTACTAGGGATGCCAACGATTAATCTATTATTCGTTACAGTCTCCATAATCGAAGATTATTTTTAAAATTCGATTTTATTTATATATTTTTTTATTATTTATGTTTTTTTGTTTTTTTTCTGGCTTAGTTTCAACCAAAATATAGACTAATAATAGTAATAGTATTAATAATTGTAAATGGCCATTGGTCACAACACCAGTTTTGACTGTAAAACTTGGAGGAAGCCAGCAGCACAGGCTGCCCTGCGCAGACTGCTGCTGCAGCTTGCTACACACCGACCCCGCCGATTTTGATCATGGTCAGTTTCTGGCATCCCTACATCCTACAGAAATTACATCAAAGTTGGTCTGATACAGTCAAGCTAAAGCATCATATAGGATATTTGGGTAAAATGTATGTCCTAGGGGTCCTGGACTCCTGGTTGAAGACCCATGGAAGAAAACGTGTAATTCTAGGGAATTTCGTCAGTACAGTTATATTTGCATTGCACCAGGAGGCTGATATATATTTGTACTGTTAGTTTATGCATACTGATTTTTAATCTGCTTTGTTTTCCTCCATTTTCAGGATTATACTACAAGACGAGTCAAGGGGATCACTGCAATACACAAGGCCAAGTAAAGTAATTATAGCAGTGCCACCTCTCTTTACCTAAGATGGCTTCTTATTGGTCTAAAAGACGTAGAGTCATCAGAACTGTAAGGGACATGGAGAAAGATATCCTTAAGGAATACGAGGAAACTCTTTATAATAACAAGTCACATTTAGACCCCTGTGTGAATAGGGAACCACCCTTCAGAATCTCACACGTTTCCCAACTAGATACACCACTAGCTTCCCATGTACACATGGAAAATGATCATACTGATGGTAGTTTAGCTGGAGATGATGAAGTTGAATCAGATCATGTACAAATGGGAAATGATCATACTGATGGTAGTGTGGCTGGGAATGTTGAATCAGATTCTGACTCCGACAGCCATGACGAGCATCAGCCTAGTCAGGATCTGCTTATGAGGAGCCTAAGATATTGGGCAACATCCTACTCAATCAATCTGGTTGCTTTGTCTGCTCTGCTGTCCATCTTAAAGCTTTTTCACCCTATGCTCCCTAAGGATGGAAGAACTCTGCTTAGAACACAACATGATGTTGCAACCACTCAAATGCAAGGTGGCGAGTACTACCATTTTGGATTGGTGCAAGGGATACCTTCACGATTGAAATGTTTGAGTTTACCAGTGAGCCTCAGAACTCTTACTTTACAGTTCAACATAGATGGTCTCCCTCTCTTTAAGAGTTCAAGACTTCAATTCTGGCCTATACTTGCAATTCTGAAATGTGATTATACTAAGTCCCCATTTATTGTCGGTATCTTTTGTGGTTTAAGCAAGCCCAAGTGTGTTGTTGAGTATCTGCAGCAATTTATTAGCGACCTTAAAAATGTACTGGCTAATGGCGTTGTTCATAATGGTAACCGATTGAAAGTACTGGTTTCCTCATTTGTGTGTGATGCTCCAGCCAGAGCCTACGTTAAGAATATCAAGTCACATAATGGCTATTCAGGGTGTGACAAGTGTGATCAACATGGTGTGTGGAGGAAGAAAATGACTTATCCTGAAACAAATGTCAGGCTCAGGACAGACTCAAGTTATTGTGATATGATTGATGAAGAACATCACTTGAAACAGACACTCAGTCCTTTAACAGGGACAGTAAAGATGGTTTCTTCATTCCCAATAGATTATATGCACCTCTGTTGTCTTGGTGTGATGAGAAAACTGTTGAATATGTGGTTAAAGGGCAATCTAGCCACTAGGCTTCCTTCACAAACTGTTAACAGTATATCAAGCAAACTGCTGGGGTTACATTCCCACACCCCTTGTGAATTCAATCGCAAGCCAAGGGGTTTGAATGAGCTGGATCGTTGGAAAGCTACAGAGCTCCGATCCTTCATACTGTACTGGGGCCCTGTAGTTCTGAAGGATTGCCTTCCCAGTGAGATTTATGACAACTTTATGTTGTTTTCAGTGGCCATGTATTTGTTTTTGTCTCCTGGAATTTCTGGCCAAAAGGTTGAATTAGCGCATAGATTGATGATTTCCTTTGTGGAACACTTTGGACAGTTGTATGGCAGGGATCAGATTGTGTTCAGTGTACACCAGCTTATACATTTAGCCGATGAATACAAACAATTTGGACCTTTAGATAATGTTTCAGGATTCCCTTTTGAGAATTATCTTGGCCAAATAAAGCATCTTTTACGCAAGCCACACCAACCTCTACAACAGGTGGTCAAAAGGTTGTCAGAACAGCCACGTTGTGAGGTTCCATTACCAACAGATGAACCAGTCTTACAGAAAATCCACACTGATGGTCCACTCCCTCAACATTTCGGTGTTGCTGTACAGTACACAAAGGTCTCCAGTAGTCGTTTTACCTTGTCTACAAAGCAGGGGGATAATTGTATTGAGGTGGGACATAGTATTGCAGTAGTGCAGAATATAGTCCAGGAAGAAGATGAGGTATATGTGATCTACAAAAGGTTCAGACACCAAGAATCATATTACACTTATCCCTGCGAGTCCTCATGCATAGGTACATACAAGGTTAGAGAGTTGTGTGACAATATCGGGGTTGGTAAACTTGGATGTATCAAACGTAAATGTGTTCTGTATCCAGAGTCAGAAGGAAATGGCCTCATAGCTATTCCAATAGCTCATATGCAGTAGCATACCGCTCATACTGCTGGGCGAGTAAATGACATCTTATGATTTATGAGCAGGTTTTTTTTTTTAATCATTTACATTATTTCCTTTATTGTATACAGAATGGAAAGGGAGGTGGTGCTTTGGGCCGTTGTACTTTTTCCAAATGGCGGAGCTGCAACAGTTCTTGCCAGCTGGTTCAGTCTAAAGGAAGGTAAATTGTTATGGCCCCCAAAAAACATGTATTTGAAGGCCCTTAAAGAACACATGACGGCCCATAAAGGATGGACCACATATGCGAATGTCCGGCTCTTGATTACTTGTGGTAAGTAGTCACTGCATTACTATTGTCTATTTTCAAGTATATAGGTATCCACACGTTTTATGGATGGCAGTTTGAATGTGTGTGGTGCCATACCACATATGACATATGTGTCACAAGTGAGACTAGTCAGTAAAATGTCATCCTATTATTTTATGCTTTTTCTTTTACAGACTCATTGGAAAAGGCCAAACGATACGAAGAAAAGTATGTGACTACTGGATGTCCAACCACTGATCTGAGCTCTGAGGACGAAGCAGGTGAACGTGGGAAAAGAAGAGTAAGGTACAGTTGAATTCCTGTAGGAGGTCAGGTTCCATGTCTGGCCTGACTTTAACCCTTATCAAACAACGTCGCATTGATAAGAACCAGTATGCGTGCATAGGCAGGAACCAAAAGAACCCAACCGCTCATAAGATGCAATGGAAAAGTGGTCACAGCACTCCCAGTGTGGAGGAAGCAGGCTTAGGATGTTTACTTTGATCGCTCCCTCTTGAAATATATAATCCTTGGTTTCTGTGTAAACAATAAGTAAAAACCCCACCTCCAGTCCTGTGATAGACTAGTGTCATCTCTATGTGTACCTGTACGTCAAGCGGCCTCATTCTACAGAAATGGGCCATGGGGCAAATTAGTTCAATTAATGGGAATGTTGAATGTTTCATTTTTATTTTCCAGACCAAATCCTGTGTACATGGAGTCAGATGGGGAGTCAGAAACCAGCTGTGTGAAGAGAAGATTTGCCAAGCCACCTGATGTTCATTGTCCTACAGTGCTCCCAGAATCCAGCCAGTACCCCTCAGGACCAACCCCAAATGCAAGCAGTGGTATGTCATTACTTATTAAAATGGCAGGAACAATATGTAATTGCATGTGAGCTTTAATTTACAAGCATTTAGTTCCTCCAACAATACATTCAAACATCAGTCATGTGATATGTGTTCAAAAGTTACAGCATCCATTATTCCTGTCTTTTGTTCCCTTTTAGCCTCTGGAGGAAGCCACTCGGAGGATGTTCTGTCAATTCACCAGGCTGACAATGGTAAGTGAACCACTTCACACTAGGGATCGACCGATATGGCTTTTTCAAGGCCGATACCGATTATTAGTAATCAACGAGACCGATAACCGATATTTGGAACCGATATACATTTGCAGTAATATCAGAAAATCTTGGTCTCAAAATGTAGAATAACACAAACTCCAACACAACTTCTTTGAAATGCCTTTTTATGTTTGCTGAACTTTTCAACATCTTAAAACTGGTTTCCTCTCTGTACCCTGAGTAAAGTCAATGAAATAGAAATAAAATGAAAACTACTAAAACTTGTTCTGAACTTCTGATATTTGAGTCTCACTCATTTAGTAGTCCCAATTCAGCAGCACCAGATTGTGGTGCAGAGTTGCTACGAGGCTCCACTAGCAATCCCCCCCCCTCACAGTTTATCCGCTGCGAGACGCTACCCTGTGTAACTGGGAAACTGATAGAATTGGATCGGGACATTGCTTGTGTACAGAGTGGTGACTGCAACCAGAGAAACGGCCGCATCAGATCCAAAGTTTTATCGGCAATTTGATTTTAAAAAAAAAAAAAGGCCGATAGCGATAATCTGTAAAATGCGGAATATCGGTCTGGATGATCGGTCGACCCCTACTTCACACTACTACCTCCGGGCGGACAGTATGTAAATGTGCTTTGTCCGAGTTACAGCATTCATAGTTCATGTTGTGTGTTCTCTCATTGTAGGCTTTTGTGGAAGCTATTTGGCGGAGTTGGACCAGTCAATGGACCACTGTAATGATGGTAAGTAAACTAATGGTGTAAAAGTCAGGCACATTCATGTGGCTGCCGATGACAATTTCAGGACACCGGAAATATGACCCAATGTTTCAGTCTCTCCGAAACGTTGGTCATATTTTCTGTATCCTGAATAAATGGTCATCGGCAGCCTCTTGAGTGCACCCCTCGTTATGAAGTAGACTAATAGGCTATTATGTCTTTTATCTTTGGATCACAGGAATTATCAGCACCTTAGGTGGGAAACTATTCTTTAATTACTCACTCTGTAGTCAAGTGTGTTCATCCCTCAGGTCTCCTATATCTAAAGTTGGAAAGTAACTATATGGGGCTAGCTAGGTGCAATTGCTATATGGTGCTCATGGATAACAACTTTGATAGTGCTCATTTGCCTTATTTAGTTATTTCTCTCTTTTTCTAGGATTGCCAACATATAACTCCAGCCCCTACCACGCTATGCCATTAGAGAAAGCAAGGAATGGTATGTATTTCTCATCTTAAATGTTTTTTTTTTTTGGAAAATTCCCAAATTCATGTTCAATATAAAGAATGAATAGCAGCTCAGTGGCCTTGTGGTTAGTGTCCGCCCTGAGATTGGGAGGTTGTGAGTTTGATCGCCGACCGAGTCATACCAATGACTGTTAAAAATGGTACCCGATATCTCCCTGCTTGGCACTCAGTATCAAGGGTTGGATTGGGTTAAGTCCCTGCGACATACAGCATCATGTCCAGGGGGTGTACTTGTACATCATGCTGCGGAAACAGGATATCGGCTCCTATGGGCCAATGGTTCTCATGGCTTACTTATAAACAATTAATAATGGTGTCTTGTATTTTAGACGGCGGTGCCAGCTATGCACATGGCTCAAGATTAGCTGACTTCAGCGCACTGGGCTTGGCTCACCTGACCCCGCAGCACCCATCCCACCCCCCTTCAGCTCCAGAAACACCACGGGGGAGATTATATGGAGAGGAATCAAGCAGAGTGTTGAAAGGCAAGTATCATTTTCTGAGCAGGTTCTTAACCGTACTGATGCCTTCTGAATTGAGAAACCTATCCCTTGTGACTTTCCCATCTTTTCATGTTTTTTGTCATGGTGTTAAGGCTTAAAATGTAAGCACTTAAACCTGCACTATGTAACCTTTTTGTGATTACAATGTTATTTTGTCCAATCTGTATGGTAGTGTTAATACAATATAACTTAAAATTGGGGTGGTTGATTTTGGTCTCCCTGCTCTTCTATTGAGACATTTAGATCCTTTATCTAGGTGAGACATGACCTTGGTTTGACAAAAATTATGACTTTATGGTCAATTTCTCCCCCGAGCAAGCAGGCAGGCTCTATAAACTCAGTGGTAAATATTTCAGCAGTTGTGCTGGAGACCTGTGTTCAAATCCAGGGTAAATAGGAAAGTTACATAGTGCAGCTTTAATGGTTACTGTTGGCAAACACTTATCAGTGAGTTACTTAGTGTCATTCTAAATTATTGGAAATTAAAAATCTATCCTTGAAATGTAAATTAAAACCTTCATTTTTTTAATTTTCAAGACATTGCTGCCATGACAACCACGAAGATGCTTACCGAGCTATGTATGGAGGTGAAGCAGATCTCACGTGACATTAACTTTATAAAGACGGAACTTGCTAAACTAAACATTCATGGAGCTGGACCAGAGTCACAAGAAGACAACTTCCCCATAATGCTTCCACTCACCAACGAGGAGAAGTTTGATGAGACTGAAGCTGCTTTGAGGGAGGAAGCAGTCCGTCGAAAGATGGTGAACAATTTTTACACAAAGCATTTTCTCTATAATCTGTCGAGGCTTCTAATATTTTCTGTATGCATTTGCAGGTATCCTGTGGATCCTTATAAGTTTTAAAAGTCTTACATTTCTTGTTTGAAATCTTAAGGGCTTATGTCTGGAATTGTAGGAGTGGATGCATTACATTTATTTTTCACTTGGATGTGTGTTTGACAGAAATATTGTAAAAATACGCCTCGCGAATCACGATAATATTTTTCTTAATCAATATTTGACAATTTCTTAGGATTGCCAATTTGGTTGTTGGCATTGTTTGTCGATTAGTTTGGACACAGTAGTGGTCTTATTTCTTCCTTAGAGGTAATACAAATGTGTTCAAATTCATTACATTTGTATTTATTTATAAATGAGAAGATGTCTATTTACATAGTACACTGTAGCACACTAATCATTTTCTCTCGTCTGTTAAGATTACCCGCCTGGCATTAGTCGGAGGGACCAACTCGGAAAATATGATCCGGCGAATGCTATCCGCTGCCATGACAAACAGTCTAGCCTGCATCTTCAACTGGGTGGGAAAGGGAGAGAAGAGGGCCTTCAAGGACACGCTGATAAAGGACTGCATGTTTGGTGAGCCTGCACCTCAAAATACTAGGTTTACTACTTTACAACAGATTTGGCAAATATTGAATTTAATTCATAAGTCTTTTACATTTCTTTCTCAAGTTGATAAGAATGGATGCAAAATGCATCCATTCTTATCCTTATCTTCATATAAGTGGTCCTCATTAATGCTCATAATAGGATGGCAGCATTTCTGTCTACTCGCTCTGCATCTCAAAGGTGGGCTGTGGACATTTCAGAAACCTGCCTACCAGTGACATTATTCCTAGCTAATTGGAAATGACCATTGATGATGTCACTGATGGGCACGTTTCTGAACTGTCCACTACCGTCCTCTGAGACACAGAGCGAGTAGACAGAAATGAGTAATAGTGTGAATCAATTATATGAAGATGTGGTTGATGGGTGAATTGCTCAATTAAGGCCGCCTGAAAACCTAGTACACTAAACAGTACACACTGGAACGCATCCATTGCAGCTTTCTTCTTCTTATTATTTCAATAAACAAAAAATGTAACTTCTTTTTTTTCAGCTGCTGCTCGTCAATTTGACCGCAGGCTGACGGAATTGACATTCAGAGTTGGAGTGCAGAAGTGGCTACGTTACGCACCGGAGAGGAATGGCGGTGTACCAAGGAAAAAATAGTTAAACAGACATTGTTTAAAGTTGGGGTGTTTTCGTTCATGTTGAACTGGGGTCTTATAGATCTGAGTTTATAGTTAAGACTGCCTTTCCACCGAGTATGACAACCCTGTTTGCAGTTGTCAGGTTTTTATGTCATCTGGAGTTTCAGAGCAAATATAATTTGAACTACAGTTGATGGCCAGATCATTGTCTCTAAGGAGCTTCCTCCACTTAAAGGTCCCATGTCATGCTTTCCCGGTTATTACCCGTCCCCTTGTTGTTATGTAGCTTTTTCTGCATGTAAATGGTCTGCAGAGTCAGAAACCCTCAAAGTACACCCTGTAGCGAGTAAAACTCTAACACAGAAAAGACCTGTCTATGCTGCCCCAGAACTTCTTCCTGAGTAAAGTGACGTAACGGGCATAGTGGCATAACACACACACTCTCACTCAGCCTTATCTTTTCTCAGCTGCGGCTCCGTGGATTTACACACACAGCCTGGCTGTGAGTGTGTGTCTGTGTGCTCAGGCTGAGTTCCTGTGTCTCGCTGATGTACAGCTGTAACGGTGGTGAACCTCAGTGATTATGTGTTACAATGGTGTTAGCAACCAGAAAATGACACCAGTAATGACAAACTGATGAGAATGCTGCGTGGGGTCTGGGTACCGTGTTGGCGGGATGTTGCGGGGCTCGCTGCTCGGCTCGAGGAGCAGACAGTGTGAGCTGGATTACTGGTGTTGTTTCCTGGTTGCTGCGTGAAGTCTGTGAGACAGCGAGACACAGAGGAACTCAGCCTGAGCACACAGACACACACTCACAGCCACGGATGAGAAAAGATAAGGCTGAGTGAGAGTGTGTGTGTCACACCACTATGCCCGTTACGTCACTTTACTGAGGAAGAAGTTCTGGGGCAGCATAGACAGGTCTTCTCTGTTAGTTTTACTCGCTACAGGGTGTACTTTGAGGGTTTGTGACTCTGCAGACCGTTTACATGCAGAAAAAGCTACATAACACACAAGGGGACGGGTGATAACCAGGAAAGCATGACATGGGACCTTAAGAGACAATGTTTTTCGTGCTTGTGGACAAAAGATGTTAAAGATGTTCATATCATTGAATCTGAATAAATAACTGAATAAGTAATGGGCTCTTTTTTTGTTTGTTCATTTTAGTTTATTTTAAATGTCCGACATCAATTGCAATCTTCAGCATGACAATATCTCAATGTTGATTCAATGACTTTTTGCAATCTGATAATAACATTGTTTCAATGTATAATGCAATGCATAATATAGTTGAATCAATGTTGATCCAATTCTACATTCTTTCAATGTTGATCATATCGTAATTGAATCAAGGTTGATTCAATGTTGGGATTGGTTGAAAATTCAATGTTGTTTCAATGCTGATCATAACGAGCACATTCACTATTGTTTCAATGTCTGACTTCAATGTTGAACACAATCTTCAGCGTGACCATATCTCAATGTTGATTCAATGACTTTTTGCTATCTGGGAAGCGATACAAAATCAGTCAAGTGCCGGGAAAACTCAAATTAAGTTAAAGAGACAAACAAGAGACAAACAACAAAATGAGTGCGGGACCGAGCAAGAAGCTAAAGACAAACCACTTCCACCCAGAATGGGAGGAAGAATATTTGTTTGTGATGTCACATTCAAAGGTTATTTGCCTTATTTGTAAAGCAAGCGTCGCTCTGCCAAAGAAAGGTAACGTGGAGAGGCATTATCGGAGTGTTCACAAGGCATAGCAGCGACTTCCCTCCGAGTTGAGAAAGAGAAAGGTCATGTATTATTGCTACACAAACATTATCTCGCAATCTTAGTGTCGCCAACTCGTTTCTAACATGCAAAAAGACAAACAAATGTCGGTGTATTTTCGATCTTTCCAATCGAGACGAGATCTCTCTCCCCCGTCTGTGCGCGAGGGGGCGGGGCAGTTTACACACACGCGGCTGCTCCATGCAGCAACACACGGAGGAGATGGCGGAGAGAAGCGCTCCAAGGTGTGGTTAAATGTTACCCGTCTTGAGGTGGACAATGCTCCTTGCCAAGAGAGTTCAGCATGTGAGGGCGGTAACACGAGCAATTTGTCTAAACATTTATCAAAAGTGCTCCACATTCAGACGGAGGAATGCACCGGGTTCCACTGTCTTTCTAGCAGCTCTGTAGCCCCCCCCCCCATCCACGAGTAACGTTTCCACGTCAGGTGTTATGTATGCTAGCAGCAACACACAGAGTTAACTCAATGATACAAACATGGGTTAATGATTATAGGTAACTGAGTTACTCTTTATTTTGTTAAAGTTTCAGCTATTCTGTTCACAGTTCTGTCATCAGATTATTTAATACGATTTGTTAAAACATTGTTGTTTCTTTTGATGTGAAATATTATTTATTTAATTTAAATAAAAAGCAATGTTAGTTTTGTTCACAATTTGTTAATTTAATAATATATGTATTTTTGAATCAAGTATTCATCTTTATTGTCTTGTTAGTTTCCACATGCCTAAAACAACCTCAAGCTAAATCTAAAAGTTGATGGCTAAACAAGAGCGTTTGAGAAATTGTGCAAGGCATACAGTAATAGTCTGAATAGTCGATTAGTCGTTTCATTAATCGATAGATTAATCGATTATCAAATTAGTCGTTTGTTGCAGCCCTATTATCCCATATATAAATAAAACGTGTTATTCAGCAACCCTTGCAATTTGGGATTTTATTTTTGGTTGGTAGACCTCGGTGAGCTGGTCATTTCAAAAGTAGCTCACCAGCCCAAAAAGTGTGGGCACCCCTGGTGTACATAGTGCAAATAAGAGAGCAACATTGTCCATAGCAGCAGGATATATATTCAAAAGATGATGTTTGAGCTTCAATCAATCAATGTTTATTTATATAGCCCAATATCACACATGTTACATTTGTCTCAGTGGACTTCACAGTTTGTACAGAATATCAGTATGATAATACGACACCCCTCTGTCCTTAGACCCTCTGTCCTTAGACCCTCTGTCCTCAGACCCTCTGTCCTCAGACCCTCTGTCCTCAGACCCTCTGTCCTCAGACCCTCTGTCCTCAGACCCTCTGTCCTTAGACCCTCTGTCCTCAGACCCTCTGTCCTCAGACCCTCTGTCCTTAGACCCTCACATCGTACAAGGAAACACTTCCAGAGAAAACCCACAGTTTAAAGGGAACATGGGAGAAACCTCAGGGAGAGCAACAGAGGAGGGATCCCTCTCCCAGGACGGACAGACGTGCAATAGATGCTGTGTGTAAATTGAAAAGATAATACATTTGCAACATAGGTAGTCCAAATGTTTGGAAATGCATGTATGTATAATAGGAAGATGAATCCACGAGGATATCTATCCAGGACTTATGATCCAGGACCACAGCCACGACTCAAGATCCAGGGCTCGCGATCCAGGACAGAGGAGCGCAGGATCATCCATGACTCCGGATCCCGGCGTATATAGACACCAAAAAGAAAGACATTTGGGGAAGCTGGGTTAATCGGAACATGAGAGTACACAGGTACAGACAGAGAGAAGGAAGAAGTAAGATGTCCCCCGACAAACTAAGCCTATATCAGCAAAACTAGGGGCTGAATCTAATCAAAGAGGTTATCCCTAACTTTAATAGTTTGTCAGAAATTGGGTCAAACACTTGCTGTGTTGACTCAATTGTGCTCATGTGATCCGAGTGAAATATTTCTTGTACTTTTCCTTTTAGCGCCGACAAAACTAAACATCTAAAAAATAACTACGCAGGAAAAGTGCATTCAAACAAACAAATTGCCCACTTTCTTTGATTACTGCGGGAGATACAACTCAGGCCTGTCCTGCATTTGTTGAGAACATTATGTACAGGTAATGCATTAAGATGATACATACAGAATTCCAGCATCTGCTTTTCCTCACCGTGTGATTGGCCCACTGTTCATGTTTCTTTTATCACAGTCCACAGAGGGACCTTGGGAGATGAAGGGGCTATTAAGGAAATAAATAAAACGCCTGTACGGACACTTAGCTCGATCAAGACCAAGCATTAAATAATTACTGTAATTCACTTAGGTTTCTTTTAAGCTGGGTAACGATTTTCCCTGTTTCCCTCCTGCATAAAATTGATCAAATGAGGAGGACTAAACAAACGACCTCTACATTAATTGGGATTCTCTCCGACCCAAAGTAGTGCATCCATCTGTGTAAGAAAAGCTTTTAAAGAAAGGGAAGATAGGGCAAATATAAAAGGAAGAATGGCTATTACGAGATTTGCTTTAGGCACCAACGTTGGGATTTAAATGAAGGTGAGAATAGAATAGAATAGTTTAAAGTCATTATACATGTACAATGAGATAAATGCTTCTCCCTTTCAAGGGTGCCATCAAAACAAAACATCACAACATAAAATACACGTAGCATACGTACTTAGGAATAAGGGATAAAGGAATAAAGAGTAAAGTGCAGTCATTATTTCCAGGAGGAGGAATTTCAATGAAGGTGAGGATTGGAAAACCACCTTGTCCTTACATGAATGCACACAATGTTGACAATATCTGTTTTTTTACTGCACATATTTTATTCCGTTCTATTTCAATGTAAATACTGCTTTATTTTAACTATATGTTTTAATGTTATTATAGTGTAGCTCTCTTCACGACGCAGGTCGGTTCTTTGAAACGGGCGTTTATTTCTTGGAGTTTTCATCTTGTAGCCTCCCCTCTCCCGTTACGCCGTGAGAACTACAACAACGAATAACACGTATACATAGCCAAACACATTAGCATAGTGTGCTACACATATATGAATGAAAATATATAAATGAAAATAGGACATGAAAACATAAAACAAATACCTCGTTGGCCGCTGAAAGGAGATTCATCTTTAAAGTTCCTTTTCTGAATAACTTTGTCACAACGATAACTTGTCACAGACTGCAGCAGAGCTTCAATGAAGACGTCGTCAACCCACGTTGAGTTGACCAGTGTATCAACAAAACACGCA